AAAATAATTACATTAACTCTAAATTAAATTTTAAGCATTATCACATAAAAAAAACTCATTCCTCAAGCATTTATTATAATTTAAGGTTTTGCCTTTGAAAATGGTGTTGACTAGAATGATCCCAAATCCCACTAATGACTTATAGTTTCAATTGGAAAAAAAAAACAAAACATTTTTTAGCAGTGCTGAATGTTTCCAAATGTAGTTGGTGTTGATGAACTCCACAGGCTTCCCTTAGGAAGAACAGTAAGTGGGTTTTAAAGATTCATCGTTCACACACCATCAGGCAAGGTGCAGTTCTGCCCTTCAATATCCTACATTTACAACAGCTGTGAAGCTTCAGACATTTTTTTTTTCCAACTCAGCATTACCCACACTAGAAGATAAGGCCATGGGGACACTTTTGAACATTTATCACCCTTCACTGTTGGAACACCTTGTTGCTCTATGCCCTTCAAGCTATCCCCAAATGAATTTCCTCTCCTACGAATCTCAAAAGCTGAGATCAGGAGCCACATTCACTTCCTGCTGGTGCTCTTTTATATAGTACTTAAAAAACTGTTAGTAAGTTCCCCTTCCTTCCCCCAGAAAGAACTGCCTTCTAGAGAAAAGGGAAGATAAATACATTTTAAGTTTTCTGGGCATCTTCCAAAGTGCAAGATGGAAAGAGCAATCTGCCATCAGCCTTCATAACACAAGTAAAAACAACTGTCATATCTGGCTTGAATGCATAGGATGTTTGCCTGGACAAATGGTCCCTGCAAATCCCAAGAGATAGTCTGCATATGTATCCTTTGGAGTCTATCAATATGGATGCCGTGTTTATGAAGTAAGTCACCCTCCACCAAAGTCCTTCTTTTCTCCCCTCCAGTCTGCCATATATAAATACTTCAGTGATTCTAAGTGTGAGGTTTCCAGAAAGCAACACTGTGTATCTAATTGTCTCCTCATATATAGAAATCATCTGTGCCTGCTACAAGGCCCTGTGGGAAGTCAAAGACAGTCATGGTCATTTTTCCATGTGAAAAGATTGGCCTTGCACCTAAATGACCTTCCAGTTCTGTAGACTTGAGCCAAGAGAAAAGGTGTGTTCAACATCTGGCTACAAACAACCCTGTGGCTCTAACAATGAAGTGGTATTTCCCCCAGGATGGAAACACGTGCTCAGGAGAATAAACAAACCTCTGAATGCTATCTGTTACAGCTCCATCTGCTGGTTCCCAGATAATGTTACAGATCTGACAGGTGGCCATCGATCATATTGATCCAATAATAAACAGTGCATTATAATGGAAGTTTTGTCATTTTTCTTCTCAATTCATCCAGAACTCCTCCTACCTCAGACATCAGCCAGCATACACAAACATCAACTGGGGATGCTAAAATAAAGAATAAGGATTGCTTTGGGAGACAATCTAGCTAAATAGAGAACTCCCCAGAATAAAGGATATGATAAAGGGACAGTGTGGCCCTTTCTGTTCCTCTTTGTGGCATTAGACAATAAACCTTCCTATTCTGTTCCTTAGGTTTTTCCTTCCCCAAGGTGGAAATAGTGATACTTTTAACTCAGGCCCAAGTGATGTTAAGAGGATTATAGTAATGAAACCATGCTTGGTATGCTGTGATCTCCCAAAAGTCATGAGTCCTATAAAGACAGAAGCATTATAATTACATCTTAATATTCACTGGAAGTTATTAGTAAGCCTTAAAATCTCCCATTAATGCAGTGAGAATTAGATGTCTATCAGAGACATACAGTTAGATGTTACTATATTAAAAAAAGTGAGTTTGATGAAAAAAAAGATGTTGAAATAGCAGTAGTAGGCAGAGCTTAAATAGCAACGTTTATAGTTGCTTCAACAGCAGGAAAAACAGTTCTAAGTAACTCTTGTCTTGCCCAATTTAGGTAAATATACTTATGTTCATTCTCCTGATGGGATTTCTAATAGTTAGCTTTCTGTCACTGTAACAAATAACTGAGATAATCAACTTAAAAAGAAAAAAAAAGTTTATTTTGGCTCATGATTTTAGGAGTCTCCAGCCCATGATGAAGCTTTTAGGCCCCTGGTGGGGATGAAGAATAGCAATAGCAGGGAGCACATAGAGGAGCAAAACCACCTCATGGCTAAAAAGTGAAAGAGAAAGGAGTACATCTCCAGTGGACCTGAAGACCTCTTTTTAGGCCCCAACTAAGGTTCCCACCACTATCAAATAGCACCACTTCTTCAATCTATGGGACTTTGAGGGTCGTTTAGATCCAAACTATAGCCAGATTACAAATTCTTTTCCTTAAATGCATACAGCTATCACATAGTACATCCAAATCCCAGGCCTTTACACTCAGAGGCAGGCACTAAAATTGGACTAAATCTGACATCTTCAGGGCATGGTTCAGGAGCTTTGGACTTTCTGTGATCTTCAGTGCCCCCATCTTAAGCACGTCTGAATTGTGGCAGGTTGAACTGTGTACCTCAGAAAGATATTTGTTGGTTAGAGGCCTAATCCCTAGTACCTCAAAATGTGATCTTATGGGCTGGGGTTGTGGCTCAGTGGAAGAGCACTTGCCTAGCATGTGTAAGGTACTGGGTTTGATCCTCAGCACCACATAAAAAAAAATAAAGGTATTTTTTAAAAATGTGATCTTATTTGGAGGTCTTCACAGAGCTATTCAAATTAAAAAATCATTAGGTTTGTACCTAATCTAGTGTGACTAGTATTTTTATTCAAAGAAGGGGAAGGGCTAAGGGTATAGCTCAGTGATAAAGCATTTGCCTAGCATGAGTAATGCACTGGGTTCAATCCCCAGCACCACACACACACACACACACACACACACAAAAAAAATTAAAGTTCATTTGCAAGCAACTTTAAATCTTAAACCCAACAACATTTACAAATTCTCTGATGATCTCTAAATTGACAAGAGGGGTGGGGGTAAGGAAGCCTTTTCTTCATTGCCAAGTTCTTTATCAAATTCAACTTCCATGATGCTTCCCATTGAAATTGAAAACTGTCAAAGAATCGCTGAGATTTATGATGAGGTTTCTTTCCCCAACAGCAACATCAGCGCCAGTTAAAATTTGACAACCATAATCTAGATGACAATTTTGTGATTGGGTCCAAATGTAATTTTTTTCTTCCTGTGCTACTGTAATTGCCAGACCTTATCATTTACTTTATTGTGATATCAGCCATGATACCTTTTCCCCAAAAGATCCCTCAGAGAGCTAAACCCACCAGTGTCAGATAAACATTAACTTCTCGAAGAAACCCCTAGAGGACTCAAATACTAACTTGCAATTCAGCCAATGGATTACCCTTCACCTGTGGAAAACTCTCAGAATGGAGAAAGTATAATCAGGTCTAATTTCCTATATTCAATCTCCTATTCCTAACTTATTGAGAGAGTCAGTGACTATTAATCCATAATAATTAGAGAAAATGGCAATCTACTTACTTTCCATCTAAGTGTTTCACTTCCAATAGGGCAAGTGTGGCCAGATGCTAAGAAACCTAGACTAGTTGTTTCTTCTCTGTTTTACAAGTGCCCAAACAATATGCCTCCTCAGTGGATGTGATAAGACATAACAAAGGTTGAAGCCCAAGTGGAAGGTATGCAAGAATTCATTTAACTGTTCTTTCAACTTTGTGCTTTAAAATTCTCAGAATAGGGGCTGGGCTTATAGCTTAGTTGGTGAAGTATTTGCCTTGAAAATGTTTGGATGCCCAGCACCACCAAAAACAAAAAAAAAAAAAAAAGAAAAGTTTTCAGAATAAAGACTAGAAAGATGGAGAACTACTGTCAAGATAACTTGGCTTTCTTCCTCTCCTCCATTTTTTTTTTTTTTTTTTTTTTTTTTTTTTTTAGAGATAGGGTCTCACTGAGTTATTTAGGGCCTCTTTAAGTTACTGAGTCTGGCTTTGGACTCATGATCCTCCTGCCTCAGCCTCCCCTCTAGAGCCACTGGGATTATAGGCATGCCCCACCATTCCTTTTTGTGTTTGTTTGTTTCTGAGACAGGGTCTCACTAAGTTGTTAAGGCTGACCTTAACTTGCCATGCTCCTGCCTCATCCGCCCAAGTCACTGGAATTACAGGTATGTGCCACAGTGCTCAAATAGCCTTTTAAGCATTTTTATTGATGTACAATTCATATATCATACAACTCACCCATTTAATATGTACAGAACAATGATGGATTGTAGTGTATTTAAGAGTTATGCAACCATCACCAAAATACATTTTAGGGCTTTTTTTTTTTTTTTTTTGTACTGGGCTTGAACCCAGGGGTGCCTTACTATTAAGCTACCTCTTCAGACATGATCTCAGTAAGTTTTATAGGTTCTTGCTAAATTGCTGAGGTTTATTGTGATCCCTGAATTGTGATCCTCCTGCCGTAGCCTCCCCAGTTGCTGGGATTACAGGTAAGCACTCTCATGCCCTACCCCTCACTAATTTTGGACATTTTCATTTTCACTACCCCAAAATGAAACTTCCTAACTCCTACCCTCCACTCCTCAGCCTCCCATCCCCCCTATTCTAGGCCACCATTAATCTAGTTTCTGTCTCTCAGCGTATTTGAATTTTACTTCTTGAAGATTTGATACATATTGCCAAATTGTGCAGCTGCTGTCAACTCTTGAACAAAACAATGTGTGTCCTGCTGTGTTTTCTCACTCTGATTCTCTGTAGGAGATAAGAAGGAGCTGGTATCATTTTTGGCCTCTGGAGCCCAGGAACTTCATAAGACAATGACTTTTGCCTTCTGCTTTCTAGTTGTGCTAAGGGATACACTGAAGGAAAGAAGCAGGTGTGCTTTCAAATAAAGCAGATGAGGAGTCTATGTCAGATGAGTACAACCTACCCTTTCACGTAAGGATTCAGGAAGGGCCATGGTCATCTTCAGCACCTCTTGGTGTATCCGATGATATTTACAGAGCTCCTTTGGCAGCCTCCTCCTTTTCCTCCTCCTCCTCATTATCATCACCATCATCATCATCATGGGTGGAAAGTACCAACTTTTCTCAGAGTTCATCTCAGGTGTCACCCGAATTGGAGCCTCTCTGGCGCCCAAATACATTGCCCAGGTAGGACTAAGTAAAACATGTTGCTTCCTCAATTGAATGGACTGTGCAGCAGTTTAAATAACTATAAGAAGCAAACACTTCTATGAGAGAACCACTGTATATTTGTTTTCAAGCCAATTCAATTATATTCTAGCTCAGTTCAAGACATCTTAGAATACTCATTTCAATTGATGGTTTACTTGTAAGTTCTGAAAACTGCTTATTCCCACAGAGGAACAATATAAGCCCTTGTAGCTGATACTTATGGGGAACCTGGTGGGAGGTTTATCCAGTGTGAAAAGTCCATAAATTTTGAGTCCATGGGTAGGATAGGAATGTTTCTGAAATAATAGTAGTATAAAACATAGTAGTATAAAAAGTATAAAAGTAGTATAAATTATGGGATTGATCCTTGGGCTCATACTTGCCATGCAAGTGTTCTGCCACTGAGCTACATCCCCAGACCCTCCATATACTGACTTTCTAAGTTCCTTGTATGTATCTCAATCTATTGCCTACCAGGTATTAGTGATACAGGCAGGAAAAAAATACAAGCTTATTTTCACAGACCACTTGTTAGACAAAGATACCCATTCCCACAAGGACAACAAATGGTGTCTAACTTTGGGAATGCAGCAATATTTTCACCCAAAGAAGCAATTCATCAGTGACCCCAGAGTTTACACTAGAAGATGATGTAAACCCCAAATAGACTCGGTATTTGTTTTGTTTTGGTTTTGGTTTTTATCCATAAATAATGACTTTGAAGTCGAAGAAAATGGGTAGGGTAGGTATAGCTCAGTGGTAGAGCGTTTGCCAGCTAGCAAAATGTCCTGGGTTCAATCTGCAGCACTGCAGAGAAAGAAATGTAGTAGTAATTTTCCAAGATCAACCAATCCTGCAGGCCTTACAGTAGCCCCAGATTTTCCTACATCAACAAGATGTCTGGGGGCTCACCTTGGAGCTCACGTTGAGGTCCAGGAGTGCAAACTCAGAGAGATACTGTTTGTACTTAGCACTTAAAGGTTAAGAGGTTGGTTTTATACCTCTTTTTTGCACTTGTTGAATAGGTCCCTCCTCCCCATCCCAGCCCACACTTATTCTCCCCTTCTTTCCCACCCACTTTCAATAGCATCATTTTCCCACCCTTAACAGCCACCTAAGGACAGTTATCCAGTGAACACAGACCTGGGGTAACTTGTAATAGTAAAGTCAAATGCTTATGTTTTTCCCTGCAGTAGGGTAACGTTTTTTTCATCTCTTATTTTTCTTGGCCAGAAGGAAGATGCCATTCAGGGAACCCCAGGTGTTTTGAAGATGAAAAGGAAGGTAGGGGGCCTGGCTCAGTGCTTATTAACTACAGAGAGAATTGGGTTCACTTCAAGAAAGAGTAAAATAATGGCAAGGAGAGACAATGATTCTTAATGAATTCACATGAGGAAAGTGTGAGGTGACCAGTTTGGGGACATGCAGTCCTCCAGACCGCCTTCTAAGGAGAAAAACAAAACAATTGTTTTCTATTATGACATAATATTTACTTGCCTTCCCTGAAGCACACAGAGCTGGCTGGATGTCATATCCAATGCCAGCATCATCTCTCTCTGAGTACCTTGGATGCCATTTATCTTAAATCAGATGACACGTGACATATGCGTCCACAGGTCAGGTTTGAGGCAGGGATAGTCTCAGGGGCTCCCTCAGCCAGGGGAGCTACTCCACTTCTTACCCTGCCCCCTCTCAAAAAAAAAAAAATCTTCCTTTTGGGTCAAGAATTCCCGGCCCTCAAACTCTACCCATCCGGCAGGGTCCAGCAAATCCAGCGTTTTAAATGCCATCTTTCCTACGTCAGACCTAAGCCTCATGGAACAACTAGAAAATAAAACAGACTTCCAGACCCGGGGGTGGGGGTGGGGAAGAAGAGCAAAGAAACAAGAAAGCCAGAGGGAGGACCGGGGACAGAGGCTGTCTCTAATTCTGAACAGGTGGCACCTTGGCACCAGTGCACTGAACCCACTTCCTTCCTAGGCTGCAGAGAGCAGAATCCCTTTCCCAGGAAGACTGACACCCCTCAATCTGGACCTGGGACTGCACTAGAGGGAGGAGCCTGGAGGCGAGGGCCAGAGGTCTATGACCTCCCGCGAAGCCGTGCTATCTGCCTTGGATCCGCGTATCTAGTGTAAACGCGGTTTCACACATAAATAACGTGCCACATCTGGCCCTTTGGTTTTATGGCGTCTTAGCGACCAAGCAATTTATAGATGGCGACCTTGTTAACCAGCAGCCTGGGCTTGTCTCAGCTACCGGGTCTGAGACACTGGTGGAGACGGAGGGACGTGGGAGAGGAGAACCCTAGAGTCCCCGATTTTCAGCTCAGAGGGGCACTCAGGGGCGAACTTACCCCGCGTTTGGGGAGAAGGGGCCTAGGCGGGCTAGGACCCCCCTTCCTCCCAAGCCGGCCATGTGGCAGCTGAAAGAGCCATCGAAGCCCAAGTGTGTTTGCGCTCATACCCAATTTATTGCCGCTGAACATATGGCCAATATTTTGACTCACGTCAGTCCAGCAAGGAAAACAAACAGAGCGCGCGCGGTGCAGGGAGCGGCCCCCTCCGCTGGGGCTGCGCTGCGACCGCTGGGCCCGAGGCAGGAGGGTGGGGCCACTGGGCCGGGAGCCTTGAGCCAGGAGCCCGGAGCCAGGAGGGGAGGGCTCTCGGGCTGCACAGCCGGAGCGCCCGCCGTTCGGTAGCCGCCGGCGGCTGGAGATAAAGAGCGGCCGAAAACCTGCGCGTTGGCCGAGGCGGGGCTCCCGCGGCGCAGCCGCGCTCCAGGTGAGCCCCCGGCTCGCGCGCGTTTCCGTTGTGTGTGTTCCCCGGGCGCCTGGAACCTCGGTGAAGCCGTGTGGAGGAGATGGGGGAAACCCGGCGCCACCTCTCGCTGCCAGGCACCGACTGTCTGGTCCCCCCTGCCCCAGCCCCGGCACGGGTATCGACAGCCGCCGGGGACAGGAATGCTCTCCGCGCACGGTCCACGAAGAGGACCATCGGAGAGGAACCTCGTGGCACCGCCATCCCCGCCAGCTCAGTCAGGCTTCGGGGTTCTCTGTGCGCCCCGCTGGCCTGACCGTTTATCTGGCAGCTCCTGACTCGGCTCGGTCCCCAAGCTACGGAGTCGGGAAGCAGCAGGTGGGCAGATGCGAGACGTCTCAGTCCTCCCTCGACTACGCCGGTCACTGGGGGAGGGGCCTCTCCTAGAGAGAATTCGCCCCCTCCTCAGTCACACCTGCAGTCGGGAAAAGTTTTACTTGTCACCGACACCAGGCTTTCCTGCTGCCGAGCAGCCGGACTGGGGAAAGCCGGACTGCCCCGGGGGGTTGGGCAGGTGCGGAGATCACGGAGGCCGAGGAGGAGGGAAGCGCGCGGCGCCCATAGCCACCCCGCCCTCCCGGAGCCCAGCGGACCCTCAAGCCCCGCCCGAGGGGGCACGCAGTGGGGGGAAGGGCGCAGTAGGAGGGGGGTCCGGGTAGGTGGAGGACTAGATAAAGACGCGCCTTGAAATGCGTCGGGGCTGTAGCTGCATCGCTGGGGAGTGGGAGGCAGAGAGGACTCATCGCGCGCCTCAGCAGTCTCCTCCCCACTGCCCGGTGCCGGCTGCTCTTCGGCTGCCAGGGCTGCTGTAAAGAAGGGCCAGCCTTCCACTTCTACCTGGTAAGTCCCCCTGCGCGCCGTGTAAGGCTTGGGATTGGGGGTTAAAGCAGAGGCAAAAGTCCTAGGATAATTTGGAGATGGCGCCTAGTGGAAAAAGGGGGTTCTCCTTAGGGGAAACTGGGACAGGAGCCAGGGTTGGGGGCGGTGAGGAGCTGGAAGACAAGTGGTGGGAGTCGCAGGCCAGAAGGACCAGTGAGGGCTGAGGGATGGAGCTATAGGCGGCGGTTGGTGCAAAGGAGACCTAAGCCTGGAGTTTGCGGAGTGTCGCCCCTGCCGCGCCCGGTCCTGGACAGTTCTCGTTTGCGACAGTAGAGATCGCCAGAGGATCAAAAATGAACCTCTGTGGGGTCTGCTGAAGTCTGGTCTCGGAGGGGCGCCCCCTTGGTTCCAGAACATCCTCCCCGGACGCGGACACACACACACACACACACACACACACACACACACACACACACACTACAAGGAGGCCCTTCCATGCGCCTCTCCTCCACTTCGGTGGCACTCAGGGTTGGAAAGGGGGTGTGTTTAGAGACTGGTTATAGACGTTTGGTACGCAAATTGAAGAAATAAGAGACAGATTCCCCAGGCACCTCTCCGTGTCCTAAGGACCTCGTGGTGCGTTCCTAGTCCTTGCCAACCCCAGCCCTTATCCCAGGCAGAGAGCGTGGCTTCCCTGCGCCTCCCGTGAATACATAGCATATCAGCCCGTCTGGCCCAGCTTTAAGTGCGGAATGCTAAGCGGTTAGGAGAGGCCGCTTGTTTTCCAAAGTCTTGTGGTAATGATTTTGTCACGTGTTAAGAAGTAAATTCAGATAAGAAAGTGCTTTCAGCGCTGTGTTTCCGAGAGAAACCCAAATCTCCTGCATTGAAATCGCCTTTATCAGGGGGAAGGTCGGGCTTGGCTGGAAGAACGTTCCTGAAGGCAACACTGACGATTCGTAATCTCATTGTAACATATTTAATCATTAGAGCCGCGCGAACGAATAAAGCAAAGGGGTTAGCCCCAGGGGACATGACGTTTGGTTCCCCAATAAACTAGTGATAATGGATTGCCTGGAACAGGCTCCTTTGGCCCGAGGGGGGCTTAAAGCTACGTTTTTAAAGAAAATATTGTAGGGAGGCTGGTTCCATTTTGTAGAACCCCTAGAGCCGCAATTCGTGTTCAATTTAACATCCATGAAAGTTAAACGGCTTTTCTTGCCTCTTATTTTATTGGATGAATTTTCAAAGATCTCATTAAAGTGCATTTATCAAAGTCCTAACATATGCCCACAGGGTCTTATGCCCACACAATGAGGCTGGTGAATAGAATGAGAAATACTAATTTCTATTACAATTTCCATCCTCAGGAGATATTTTCCTTTGGGGGCGGGGGTGGAGGCAGATAATTGGGAAAGTGTTGGATATTTCACTTTGAAACAGAATATGGAGGAGGCACCTACTTAGATGTCTTCCTCCTGCACCCACAAGTAAATTGCTTCAGGACTCCAGGCTGTAGAGTCCCAAGATCATTTCTTCTCTCCATGGCTTCAGGGGATGCCTGCCACTGTGGAATAAGTGGAGGCATGAGCTTTTCCTGACACACATAATCAGAACCCAATCTCTGAGCTTGAAAAACTTATTTAACCAACACCTTCTTGGTGACTTGGGATACTCTAAGAGGCGTTCATTCTTCCCCTCCTGGAATTTAAAAGTTAATACCACAATGTGGACCAAAGATGGAGCAGGGACTTATTCTGGGCTTGAATTCAGAGTAAACTGAGATTTTCTTTCCCTTCAGACTAACCTCCTAGCCCATCTGACCTATGGCTAATGAAGAAATGCCAAAGATCTGGTCTGGCCTCTCCAAAGTTGCCATCCACACAGCTTTAGGCCTCCCCAACCCAGTCACCCCACAGGAGGCAGGGTTTCCAGTGACCTCAGTATCCTTCTACCATAGACAGAAGGAAAGACAAAAATTGGAGTTGGGCTGGCCAGGGACAAGACTGATTTTCAGTTTTCTGAGTCAGGAAATATCTCTGTGTGGGGTGTTTATTCCTAGGTCACGTGCTTTGATTTCTTTCCCTCAGTATGCCAGAGCATACTGAGTATGACACAGCCCCACATGAAACCAAAGCCACTTCTTACCGTTTTGTCAATTGGCATCTTGATCATGATGCTCAGGGACCAGAATGGGAGACATTTTCCTCCCCTGTTGATATCAAGTGCATGTCACATTCCCAGCGAGCAACCAACGGTGAAATAAACCTTCCCCCTCCAACAAAACCTTTGTGTCCTCACAGTTAATCCTACTCACTGAAGTAGGAAGGTGCAACAAGCTTTGTTTCAGGAGTGAATGAAGACTCCACCTTGGCACTAACCAGAGAATAAACTAATCCACTTGAAGATTGTTGTATGAGATGGGATGTGCAGGGGGCCGAGAGCTCATCTACATACTATACTAGGAAAGTAGTTTCTTTTCAGTCCTTTAAATTAAAAAGAAAAAGAACTGAAATGAAGTCAAACAAATTAGTGCTTCCACATAAAAGAAAAAGACTTACTAGTGTTTTCAATGACTGGAAGTGCTTTGCGGGTGGGAAGAGTGAGGGGTGCCACCTTGGGCTGCTAAAGCTTTGAACTCCTCAAGGTCAACTCCTCTGGGTCCCCAAGATCATCCCCCTCCCTCAGTACTTCTTCTGCTCTTAATTCCCCTGGAGGATGCACCTACCCAGCAAGTTTTCATCAGCCTGAAAGAAGAAGATGTGAGCCCAGTGTCCCAAGAGGCCCTTAAAGCCCAAAACAGAGACTGGGAGAGAGGGTCAGAAACCATCCAGAGGATGCCCATTTCAACCACAGGAACACTAAGAGCATCTCCAATTCCTGTGCAGAGGCCTCTTCCCAGTTTCCTAAAGTGTCTTTCTTGCCTTGTTTGTTCCTGTTTAGGGTTTAACTCCCCACCCCCACCCCACCAAACAGGGGGCATTATTATAGCCAGGGGTGTGGGGAAGTGAAAAGCCCACCAGACAGGATATATCAGTACTGGCCCCATGCTCGAAGCCCAGAAAAGGCAGTCGTGTTTGAGCTACCTGGGAAAGTAAACAGGTAAACACTGGGTGACTTAGAGGGCCACTTGTCATGAAGTGGGGCCACTTAGCCTGTGTACATTCACCTCCCTTCCTGGGCCCCCTGCAATTGTTCAGCTCTTCTTTGCCTGCTCCAGCCTCCTGAGCTGAGGCTTTAGTCTTCCCCAAACCCAGAGCAGCAGAAGTGGACCAAGGGCTCCAAGGAGCCTCCAAAGAAGATTCTCTCTAGCTTCCAGGGAAGAGTTTCTCTTTCTCCTCACCAGTCTGTGTCTCACATTGCACCCATCATAAACTTAGCAAAAGTGAACAGAGAGATTTGTGCTGAATCTGGGGTCCCCGTGCAGAAAATTAAGACCAGGGATGGGTAGGGCTACAGCAGTTGGAGTCGCCCCAGCAGAAGAGCATGTAGTTCTGGACACTAAGGAGATGCCAAGAGGATCTCTCTGAAGCTCAGGGTATGCTGGGTTCAGAACATCTGATATCTACCTCAACCTGCCGGAGTCTGTGGCAGAGATAGCTCACTGCAGAGCTCAGGAGCTTCCCCGGAAAATTATGGCTGACCCCTAACCCAAACCTGATTGAACCCAGGAAATTGTTTTCTCCTGGGTTCCAGATAGAACCTGGAAAGAGTTTACTAAAGAATTCCGAAAGGGGGGACTAGTGCACATCCTCGTAGAAATGAAACTGGTACCAGCGGACGCTAATATATTCAGGTGGAGCATTAATAAAGAATTTTCTCCCTAGGAGGGGCGCGGGACTATTGCCTCTCAAACTGCTGGGTATGAGGGATCCTGTGAAAACAGGAGATCCTGGGCTCCAAAAGGCCCGGATATGGTGGTGCTTCGGAGGGACGCCTCTTGGGGAGTCTTCAGGACGCAATCACCTGTTTAATTTGGGCAGAAGAGAGGCGTTTAGCACCTGACCCCTCTGCTCTTCTGGCTGCACCTCGGCCTACCAAATGCAGGAGACCTTGGAGTAAACTCTGGGCTTGGGACTCGCCCTCGGCCGCCAGCTGGGCCCGAGCTGGCGTCCGCAGGCTGCTCCTGGGGGACTTGAATTTTATGATCTTCCTCTAACAAGCCCAGTTTCTCCCCTTCAATTATGGGCCTCCCAGTGGTCTCCCTGGGCCTTTTCAATTGCAAATGTTAACGCTTTGGAAATGGACGCGGGAACCACACCAGAGGGATGGGGAAATGGACTCTGCAATGTCCCTGGAAAGAGACCCTGAGCCTTATAGATTCGGCTGGTCAGGGAGCTGCAGCTGGAAGCAAAGACGGAACCTTCTCCTGCTCTCTCGCTCGACTCCCGGTTGCCCTAAGATCAGGAGAAGGAAAAATGGGTGTACCAGTTGGGGTGAGGGTGGAGGGGAGATACCAGGTGATTGCCTGCGCCCGCAGGGAAAGTTTAGACTCGCAGGTGCTGGGGAATGGGGACCTTGGGAGCTAAGATGCTGAAGGGTTTTGGCTAGTTAAGGCCAAAAGGCAGGCCATGTTGCAAACCAGACCTTTGTGAACTGTCCTGGGGACTTCCGTCTCACTACTCTCCGATGATTAATTCCCAGAAGCCTGGATTCCTGTAGGAAAACAGTTGTTTCTCAGGTGCTCTGTGCACCTTGCAAGCTCCCAGGGGCGAGGGGAGGGGACCTGATCAACAGCTACACTGGTTATATCCAAAAGAAAGGCCCACCATGCTGGGAGAAGGGAGGAAGAAGTTGGAAACTACAGAGAACTAAGTAGTTCCAAGCCCAGGAAATGAGCAGGCTCTGGAAGGCATTTCAGGAGCAACCCCACCACCACCATCACCAACATGGTTCTGGGCTCTAGAGATTGTGTGTGTGTGTGTGTGTGTGTGTGTGTGTGTGTGTGAGAGAGAGAGAGAGAGAGAGAGAGAG